TTTGAGAGAGGGTTTCTTTAACCCTACCCCTACTCCTGGCGTTTTTTGAGACAGATTTTTTTCTGTGTAGCCTTGGCTGTCCTGGACACTCTCTGTAGACCAGGCTGGCCTTGAAACTCTCAGAGATCTACCTGCCTCTATCTCCCAAGTGCTGGGATCAAAGGCATGTGCCAAGGTACCTGGCCTGGTTATTTGTATTTTTATAAAGAGCAAAGGGTATTAAATCAGAAACTAATTTACTAACCCCAGTACTAGATTTTACAATAAAATTAAGAACTTACAGGTAGGGGCTTTCTCATTGGAACATTCCTGTCCTTGTAAAGGCCCCAGGCTTGGTTTCCAGCACCCTCATCCAGCAGCTCACAACCAATGCTGACTCTAGCTCCCTGGCTCCAAGGGATCTGGCACCCTTTTCTGACCTCCATGGGTACCCACACTCACATAAATACATATCTTTATGTTCCATTATCAGCTGAGCTGCTGTGCCTCGAGACAAGAGTGGGAAGTGAGAGTGAGTGGTAATTGGACTCTAACCATGAGCACAGTTCTCAGAATATTCCTTTCTTCACTTGGTAGAATGGAGGCTTGGCTTTTAATCTACAGTTCCAAGCATCATTTCTAGGCCTTTCCAACCACTGGTTCCCACTAGCTTGTTATTCTAACAAGTCTTCAACTGGATTTGGTTTCAGGAGTTCAGAAACATCTCTTGACGGAATGGAATCCTTGCACGCTGCTGTCTCACTCTTTCCAAAGAGCAACCAAAGAACATTCATAATGAAAACGATGAACTCTTGGCATAATAGTCCTTGCTCCCTTCCACTGCCCACGGCAAGCGGCATGTATTCCATTCCAACTGGGCTATATGCCCGTCCCTAAACAGTGGATACAGCCAAGGCTGCCTATCACTGGCCATTTTACCTTTGCTGTTCCTCACTGTGCTGAATCCTTAGCCCAAGACGCCCTCCTGGGCCTCTGAAACTCAACGAGGCCTAGATTCCTCTAATGCTATCAGCTGGATATGGGCATCTGTGAGTTTATACACAGTTATTTTTGCCCTGTGCAGGCTTCTCTAGAGCTAGACCACATAACTGAGGGAGGATAAAGTCAGCTATGTTTTTGGATTCCTTATGGTACACGGCCCCAAGGGAGAGTTCTACATTTCTTTTACTATCATGAATGTTGACATGAAAAGTGCCAGTGGACGCAGAAGACAAGACTAGACCATAGATGGTCCAGAAACAGTACCTGCCTACCGTGAGTACTGCCAAGGCATGAAGCAACTTGGGTAGCAGCTAGCTCTTGCTAAGTGCTTGCCTCATACCTGAGCCTCTCCTGAATATTTGATCCATGCCTGTGAGGACCCAGCAAGCAGCTTACTACCCTTACCTCACAGCTTAGGGGGACTGACTGATACTCTAGGTGATGAGGTCACTGCTCAACTTGACAAGTCCCAGGTGGAATTCCAACCCAGGCAGGCAGAGCCTAGGTACTGCACTAGGCCCTGTCTAGATCTCTAAGGGTGAGAGCAGAGGGCAAACTGGGAAGATCCAGACACAAGGGGAGGAATCCTCACATCCACTGTCTTTGCTTACCTGAGCAAATATGATAATCACTTCAGCGATCCCATTCTATGGCTTCTTCATGACTTCATATTGGTGTTTTTTTTTTTTTTTTTTTTTTTAATGTACCGACAAAACAGCTACCTCAGAAAATGACTCTGGTGGCTTGAATGAGAATGGCCCCACAGACTTGGATGTTTGAATACTTAGTCCCCAGTTGGCAGAACTATTTGGGAAGCACTGTCAGAGGCGGTGTGTCACTAGGGGTGGGCCTTGAGGTTTTCTCAACAGACCCCTGCCCTCTACCTCTTGCTTGCAGCTTGAGATGTGAACTCTCAGCGGTCCCTACTGCCATGCCTTCACTCTGCTCTCACATAGTCTAACCCTGTGAAACTGTAAACCCAACTCAATGCTTTTGTCTCCAAGTTGTGTTTGCCATGTTTTATCACAGCAATAGAAAAGTAACTAACACAACAACACAGCCCATTTCCTATCCCCCTCATTACATTACAAATCTGTTTGATATGCAAGGTGGCTTATCCTCCTATGTCTAATTATAATGCCAGAAAATTATTTATGATTCACCATGGTGGGATCGCCTCCACCTGGTTAGAATATAGTAATTAATGACGGTGGCAGGAGTGAGTCTCTTGACTTCACTGTAACTAGGGATAAAATTATTACAGCCAGAAACTCCGAGATAGAGCGGGCACCGTATCCCTCAAAAATGAGCTCATAATATTGTACAACCCTGAATAAACCACACTTGAGTGGCTAAGTGGTGTTCATTGTGGGAGGTCACTTGAGCAGAAGAGCAGAACCACTAATAACTGAAAGCCCCTTCAGCATGGAGGTATCACATGCATAGGGCTTGGAAGGGGGACTAGCTATAAATGAGGTTTCAACTGCCGTCAGCCTTACTGTTGGTATTCATTTTCTCCAAAATAAATACCGGGCCTTAAATGTACACTGTGCATATGTAAATGCATTGGTGCTTAGTCAATTCAGGCTTTACCCAAATACCCTGTAATTAATGAGCCTTCCAAACTGCCAAGGTGTAGCGCACAAGCTACCACCCCCACCACACCCCTGAATTTCCCATTTCCAGTACTACATGTCAGTTCACCCATAGAACCACAGTGGCACGGCTGACAGGCTCAGGAAGCTCAGTGCTGAGCTTTCTTGAGCAGAATGCAAGGACCCATTGGTGGTGGTATAAACACCCAGGTGACACACCACGCACAAAGGTCAGATGTGCTGAGGACCACAACAGAGCAAACGCTGCTGGAGGGGGGAGAGCGGAACTGGGGCTCCTGCCAAGGACATAGCTCTGGGGACACAGAGGCTGAAGTTGACTCAGCACTCCCACAGGTCATCTGCATAGCTTTCTCCTCCCGTGTGTGGGGTCTGCAGAGGTCAGAGGCTGGGAGGCTGGGTGTCTTCCCATGTCTATGTCTCTCTAATCACCTGAGCCAGAGATTCTCACTCAACGTGAAGCTCACTGTCCGGTTAGGGGGGCTGGATGGTGAGCTCTGGGGACCTGCCTGCCTCTGTCCCTGTCAATGTCCGGGCTACAGTGCACACAACCATGCCCAGCCTTTTGTTTTTTAAAACACAGATGCTAGGTCTTCATACTTACACAGCAAGCAGTGCTGTCACCCACTAAGCCTTCTCTCCAGCCCCAAGCATTTCATCTCTAAAAGAATTTATTTCAGAAAGGCCAGGTTAAGGAAGAAAGGGGCAGTTTCTTTCTTTTGTTAAAATCCAGTACCATAAGGCCTTTACCACAGAGATGAATAATTCAAAATTCCCCTCAAGTAACAAGTCCCCCACTTCTGAAAGGTGTACTTTTTTAAAAAAGTACAAAAGGATTTGGTGATGCGCAAAAGTCCCAATCTTTGTACCAGTCAGGTGGTTTGGCAGGCAGAGGGACTTGCCACAAGATTGATGACCCGAGCTTTTAGGACCCACATGGCAGAAAGGGAGAACTGCCTTTGCAAGTCCTCTGACCTCTACACAAATGCCATGGCACCTTCACACCATCTTCCTGCCCCAAGTAAATACATAGACTTAAAAAAAAATCCATCTTCATTAACCTGCAGTCTTGATGATGCATTTTACATATATGCAATGATATTCTGATTAGCAGTGAAAGAAATAATTAAAAAAAATTAGGAGGCTAATCTCCCCCAAATCTCTCAGCCATTACTTATGTCTGCAGGTGATTTTCTATCTTTTGACACCATACATTCTAGTTTTCACTAAAGGAAAACAAACCAAATTCACTGATATTTTCCCCCTCCATCTTAAAAAGCCTCAGGGTTAATTTGGGTCTGGCTGTAACTGTCTCCTACGCCTTGTTGCAGCAATTCTCCCACTCATTTTGTGCTCTTTTAACCCTGTCTCAAGACTCTTCCCAGACAAGCAGAAGAATTCCAATTTTAATCAATGGAAATTTGAATAGCAGTATGGGGGTGTGGTCTTGGACTGCTTAAGACAAGCGTCTCTGCTTTCCACTCTCACAGTTCTAGATACACGGCCCCAGGGTCACACCATACAATTGATCACAACAGCAATAACGAAGATGCTCTTCAGAGTCAGGTGACACTTTTTTGTACTATGGGCTTTTATTTAAAAGCACCTCCTATTCTCGACATAGTCCTAACAGGTGGGAAGGGCAGGTGTCATGGCTACTTTATGGATGAAGCGGGGTCATTAAAAGGCTAAGATGTGTCCCAAACAATTTGGACAAATGACACCAAGAGTTAAAGCTCAGTTCTTCCCATAATTTGGCCAGGTATGTTAACATTGGACACCAACAGAAAAACTAAGTCACATGCATGTGAGACTCATTAGAAATACTTTCTCATAAATCCAGTAACAGGGGCAGTCGGCGGTCCCCGTGTGTGTGCATGCACTCCACCAATGGAGACTGTAACAGGATGTCAGTGTCCTCCCCAGGGAATAGCTCTTATTCCCTGGAGACAGCTCCTCACCCTGAACTCGGCACTCACCTGCAGCTGAGCAAGCTGGCTATTAAGCTCCTGGTTTCTCTTCCCCAGAAAGCTGGGGTAATAGGCATCAGTGGCCATTCCTGGACTTTGCACATGGGCATCAGGGATTTGAACTCAGGTCCTCGGTCTTGAACATGGGATGCTATTAACCCACTGAGCCATCACCTCCCCAGCCCCAGAGGTATCACATCAGTGCAATCAATTCTGGTCCCTTGCTCTTTAATTCTCCTGACATTTTGAAGGAAGGGGTAAAGTATATGTAACTGCAGTAATTATAATTTAACAACGCAGTGCTAACCGCACCCTGTCATCATCACTCAGAATCTCAAGGAGCTGAATTTTTACGCAGACTGGAAGTAAAAAATAGAAATCGCGAAGATGCCCTGTAACATGAATAGAAACAACAACAACAATTAAAATAGCTTACCTTGCAGCCTTCACACGTAATGACACCATAATGGATTCCTGACGATTTGTCTCCACAGATCTTGCATGGAATAATTTCAATTTGAGCTGCAACAGAAGCATGCAACCAGTTAATTACATTTTCTTTTAAACACCTTATAAAAGCATTCCCCGATCAGCATTTGTATAGTGAAAACTAATAACCTGCTAAACATTATCCTGCATTAACTATTCATTGCTGAACTGTGAGGGTCCCCCTAGAGCCCTGGACTAAATTATGGCTGCTCGTTATATAATAGCTTTCGGGTTATTAAAATGGGTCATTTGAGAAGGTGTTTAAGAGCCCACAAGAAGACTGGAATCAGCATTTCAAAGGCTTCCAGAACTGGAGAGTTCGCAGTTTAGGCCTCAGAGCAGAGCAGATACTAAAATGTGTCCCCTCCCACCCCACCTCATTTTCCATCATTATTTTTAAAAGGTCATAAATCTGTCTTGGCTGAGCATGTGGCTCTTGACTGGTAGAGAAAAATACAGCCCCGAAAAGTCAGGTCTACTCAGGAAAATGATTCAATTCAAAATATTAATAAGTTACGTATGATGGGAAGGGCTCCTCACTCATCTTTTAAAAGAATTAATGTAGTTGCCATGTGTTCAAAATTAGTTCATCTCTGAACAGCCAAAACCTTTCAACCATAAAGTTAATATCCTGCCTGAATTTAATAATGATGAATTTTGCCAAACAGGAGAGCTTGCTTCTAAACTTTTTTTAATGATGGAAATTGATTTTTTTTCTTTTTTTTTTTGTGCAGCATGCATGTACTTTTGTGTAATTGATTATTTAAAGCTGCTTGCCTCTGGAAAACCAAATGATTAAGATATCATACCAAAGTTCTAAGTCCTGGGCAGGCATATCTCTAAATAAACACACTGTATTTCCAGTAGAGTTAGAAAAAGCAGAATTGAAAGCTGAAATATACAGAATGGAACACATAGGGAAAAAAAAACCCCACATTTAACTCATCTCTTAAATAAGATTTATATGTGAAATCATGGAGACCAAAGCTGATCTGCAATGATGGTGATGAGCCCCTGCTTACTTAGAATGTTCTGTTGTGCTACATTTTCAAAAGTTTTCACCACTGGATATCGGCATAGCACACCAAGTTGTACACGCAGACCAAATAACAAATGCCCTAGTCAATTTCATTTTATGCCGCTTATAGGTAGCTTTATGCTGCCCAAAAAAACAATGGTCCACACATTCTGTTGTGTGATGTATGCAACACACATACACACACCACACACACACACCACAGTCTACTCTCTTCTAATGAAATACATCCAGGGATACTTTCTGTAACTACTGACTGTGGCTATGACATGACATCATTGCATAAGGTCCAAAACCGCAGCTTGCTAACTCGCAAGAAGATGAACACAAGTGTTGTGGTGACTTCCAGCTATTCTAGGAGGGTCCTTTCCTATGTATTTTTCACCCCTGTATCCCATATTTGTTCATCCAAGATTTAGTTGTGTATGTGTGGGGGGGTATGTGCATGTGGCAGCAGTGCCTACAGAGGCCAGAAGGGGGCGTCAGGTTCCCTGTACCTGGAGTTTGTCCACCATAGGTGCCAGGAACCCAACTCAGGTCCTTCTAGAAGAGCAGCAAGCACCCTTAAACACTGAGGCATCTCTCCTGCCCAGATTTAGGGACTGTTCAAAATCTCACTCAAATTCTTTTATGTCATGTGGAGGTCTTCTGCCTCATAATGGTGCTACTAAAACTTAGAATGTTTATAGTTGTCTTAATAAAAAGCCTATTTCCAACCTTGCCTTGCTTGACCTCCTTGAGGAATATATCACAAGGCCTCATGTTGAGTGTCCCTCTCAGTATCTTCATTAGAGTCACGGGAAAGGTGGTCTGCGGCACCGGGCAGTTGTGCTAACAGCTTTCAGACAAGTGGCAGAGTGAAAGGCATCTAAACAGTGTTATCAGCCCACAGTTCCAACCTGGCTTTTCCCATATGCATGGACCAGTCTATAACGAGAACTGGCTGCCACCACCCTGACCTATGAGGAAGAGAATAATTACAAGACACCACTCAGTCCACCTCTTAAACAGAATTTATCTGTGAAATAAAGACAACCAGTCAGGAGCTGCCTTCTGCCCTTCTTCCACTTCAGGCTGTCACTGAAATGACTTAAGCAGGCCTCGTTAGGCCCCACAGTGTGGATCACCATCAAGATTACTTGAGGCAAACCGAGCACCATTCATCTTCAACCTGGGCCTTTCAAGAATCTTCTTCAGGGCATAGGGGTTCAGTGAGGGGGAACTCCTTCCTAAGGTAGAGAGCACTTAAGTGAGTGAGACCCTGACTAAACCTTTGGACTCCACATGCATGCATGCACATGTACAGCCACACAGAGGCAAAACAAGAAAACCACCTTGCGTCTGCCTTAATGATGGGAGGTATGTGTATCATTTCTGTATAAGAATCCGAAGGCCGTGGTCAGGCTATCTAGGGACACTAAGTAACACTACCCAAATCAAGCAGGGATGTGAATTCTGCTGCTGGGCTCTGGGGGTGGAGCAGGAATTAAAACTGAAAGTGGGAGTCCAGAGAGTACTCAGAATGCTTTCAAATGGCCCCAGTAACACTTTGAATTATATACAGGGAGGCCTGGCTGTCTGCTCATGATAGGGGGAGGGGCTAGAAGTATCATCCCTGCCTTAACACCATCACCTAGGAATGGCTCATGGCAGCAATTAATGCGCAGCACAGCCTCAGGCATCTGGTATTTCAGGGTCAGGGCTGGGGGCTTGAGTCAGGCTTCAGTGCCCTTGGTCTGCAGCCTTGCATAAGTTCAGGTCTTTCAGATCTCAAGGCTATCCAAACCCAAGCTGATTGCACAAGTTTACACAGAGGCCACAAAGCTAAGAATGAATGGGCTCACATGGAGTTGCTCATCTGTCCACGACCTTTGTTCCCCACGTGATGTGTTTAGGCCCCGTGGGCAGCATGGGCTAAAGAGGCAGAGTTAGAACAAGCTTCTCCAGGAACCTCACAGGTGAGGACCGAAGGCACTCTGCAGAGCAAAGTTGGATTACACTGCTCTGCTGGCTGACCCCACAGGGCTGTCTTAGCTCAGAAGATAATTTCAGCTCCAAGTGCTCTTTGGGAGATGACGAAAATGCACCTGTTCCTACTGCAAGCCCTCTGAATGTCATCTGATCACACTCGTTGACATTCTCACGGCAAACATTTGCGACCAGGAGCAAGGCACTTAACTCGTCTCTCCATTCAACTCCCCTAGCACGCAGAAGCCCACCCCAGCCCTGCTTGCTTTCAGTTGACACACAAATGAATCCCAGAGAAGAAAAATCACAGTCAGTGCCTCCCAGATATTTCAAAAGAATGGCCACAAATTTAAGTTTCCATTTCAACAAGAATGATAAAAAATCCCTCAACGAGGAAACATGCTCTTCTCCAAAGAACACTGTCAGCATAAATGGTGTGTCTTAGCCCCTGTATGTTCTACACATAGCTAGCATCCAGAGGTCGATCTCTGTCAGACACCACCGTGGTTGGCACTCACAAGTACACACCCTAATCCAGAGCACATGTGTATTCCTCCCAGGCAATCGTATCAAGCAGATGTGGCTGTACAGTCCCTGACTGGCTTCCCAGGGAACAATCTTGCTATGAAAACTTCTCACTTGCCCACACTGTTTTTTTCTTCCATTCCTACTGTCTACGTAATTTGTTCTCATGCACGCTTAGCAATTCAGCAGGGTCTCCACACTTGCAGGGGCAGATCTCTGGAGCTGATAAGTGACAGGAGGAAGCCTGGGAATGCCAGCATGCCAGTTAAGCACAAGGCCCTTGAGCTGGGTGGTCAGTTAGCACTGTTTGCTTTCTGTTTCTAATCTACAGGAGAGGCAGCCATCAGTTCCTCCTGCTTAACAACACATGTAGCTCTGGGGCCTGCAAAGTGGCTCAGAGGAAAAGGCCTTGGACACCGAACCTGATGACTTGGAGTTCAGTCCCTAAGACCCATACGGTAAAAGGAGAGGACTGACTCCTGCATGTTGTCCTCTGACCTCCATATATGTGTTGTGGGACATTCGTGCCTACACACACACAAAATAATAACAATTTCTCATCATACTGCCCTGCCAAGCTAAACCATCTGAACAACAAACACCAGTGAGCTTGCACTTGGTACAAAGTGCAAGAGATACCACCATGCTACAGGAACCCAAGTCAGTAGCCCTTCCTGGGAATTACCTACCTAGCACATGGCTATAAACTATCATTCATATTTTGGGCTTTCCTGCTCTATTTTGCAGAATTCCAGGTAGAATGTTTGACCCTCCAGTGACTCCCCTCAGGTTTACCGATTCTTAAGCCTAGGCACATTAGTTAACCACCCTGACCCCAGCTTCCTAGCCGAAGATTTGTATGGACAGTGGCGGCTCTGAGCTGTTTCCATGTGTTGTTTTCTACATGCGCCCAACTCAGGCGCACACCGCATGGTTCTTACACTTCACATTTGATAACTACTAGTTGGCATTATTAGTGCTGCTGTTGATAAGGAGCCCTGTCTTAGAGTGGGATAAAACTCTTTCCTCCCGAGTCCAAGCTCTTCGCGAAGGGGGGATAGAGAAAAGCTGCTTATTTTCTAAGGACCGTGAAAGGCAGTTGACGCTGGCAGCCGCAGCAGCACCACACACACCGGCACCTAGCTGCGGCAACGGTATATGTCACTAACAGCAGTGGGCTGCAGGTAGTTTTTCTGTTGGTGCATAGGAAAAAATGAGAGCCAGTGCATGCCAATCATTTTTCATTGTGGGCCATTTGCACATCATGTGTCCTCCGTGTTTGTGTGGGTACACACGTATACATGCTTGCATGTGCTTGCAGAGGCTAGAGATTGATGATGGGTGTCTACCTCCCTGGCTCTCAACCATATTTTTTGATATCTGGGTTTTCACTGGATCTGGAATAGACCAGTATGGCTAGACATGGGCTCCCCTGTCTCTCTCTCCCTGCCCCACCTTGTTTTTCACAAATGTGGGTGCTGCAAGCACTTTACCAACTGAGCAG